TGGAAGTTGCCTTATCGATACGTTTTCTACAGAAAGAGCCCCTTGATGTTCTTTAGAGAAAATGGGGAAACTAAACGATACATGCCTGGGAACAGTATACGTGATCGTTATCCGCAGGAAGATCCTGAAAATTTCCTGATCCTAAATCAAATCCCCCAATAAACTAGGATGATCTCAGCCATGGTTTCAACGAAAAAGACAGTTTAAGGCGACATCCTGCTGTCGATGATGATGAGTTGTGCTTCCAGACAAAGATGCATACAATAAATCATGCTCATATGAAGCATACTTCATCGATTTCACATCAAACGGTTCGTTTAAAACTTACCTGAATATACTGCACCTTGACTGAATCAGAAGAACGGAACAAAATTATTGTTGGTACGGGTCACAAAGTCAAATTTATGTATGAAAAATAGCTACGGTGTTTGTTTATTTTTTATTTGCTGCAAAACATCATGGTGTTGAGTACCACGGCTCCGTAACGAAGTGTAGTTCGTTTTTGGAGGTTTCTTCTGGTTCTTGAAAATGTCAAACCCATGGCTTTTTTGTCACTGAAGTTCATAAGTTCAGTCCAGAGAAGTCAAACTCGTGGCCCTTTTGGCAGCAGTTTGTTTTGAATTTGAGGCCACAGATCACACTTGTGATTTCAGCAAACCGAAATTCGATGGGGTTGACCTAATACAACTATTCATTGGCGTCAATTGCCTATTCAGGCTGTAAGTTTCAAGTGGACACTGGATTTGTTATTTTGCCACAAAAGTGTCAAGCTGACTAAGTTACCAGGATGTTTCCGATTTGAGAGAGCCAAGTCGAGAGGTATTTTGGAGCAGCAATTTAGATTGGCACTGAGTTTTGGTCAAAAGTTTTTGTTATCTTGCGTGAGTGAATATGACTTAAGACTGATATGCAATGGATGATCAGCATCAAGTTACAATATTGTTACTATTTATACGAACAGCGTATTATCGGCTTCCCGTTTTCATGGCTTACCAGCTAAGCCTAACACATGAGTTTCCTTTTCCTTCCCTGAAAGCTAGGTGACTGGAGCTTTATACTGAGTAGCAAATCGGAGGGGTGCCATTCAATTTAAGCTGAAGTTTTACTGCATGGTATTTGTGACCTCGTTTTTCCTACAAATAGTAATTTACTACCGCGCCTTCCCACTATTATATGAAATTTTCGGCTATTGGAGCTTACGGACCGCGCTAAGTTGTACTTTAGTTACTTCGCTTTCATCGTAGGAAACTATTAAACAGATGGATTCAGATCTACGACTTGTCTTTCTATATCTTTTAATTGCTACGGGATTCAACGTATTCTTCAACAAAAAAACGCTTATAGGCCCTGTTTGTTGGCCTACCTAACAAATTTCCTACACAGAAATAACTGATAGATGGTATACTCTTTAATCCCGATTTAACACAACACAGAATCATGGAAAGTAACTTTATTCTGTATTATCCAACTAGGGCCGACTTCGATTCCGTCGATTTGGCGCTAGGTACTTTGAAATCTGCGATTTGAAGGGTGGTCTGAAGGTCATGGCGGTGGGTTTTAGATAAAAGCCGAGTAGTTGAGTAAATCCGCTTTCTGACAGATGATCTGGCCGCTAAAATAGCTATTTGGATAGAGACGATTGACTTCCGGTCACGCAACAAACAAAATGTGGGTATCATGTTATGCTTCAAGCATTTTGTGTTCATTGCGCGATGGGCCTTCTATTGCCCTCCCGGCCTTACCAATCAAAAATTCATTTAATTTTTGGATTCACGGGCTCACTTGTTTTCAGTCCACTGGGAGTTCTTCGGATTCAACTGAGAAGCCATCGTTCTAGAAATACGTAGTGAAACTTTGGTGCGTACAGCTTTTCATACAAAGCCACCTCAAGCCAAGTGAACTAATAACTGTAATTACGAGTTTTGAGGAAGACGGAAAACCTGTCATACTTTGAACTGGAATACAAAATTGGGGGATAGATACTACTTAAAAGATCCTGTTAAGTAATGCAGAAGGTCAAGCTAGCTCAGCATTCGGATCCTGTTTTTGAATATAGATGATAATACGCCATGATGTGTCACTAGAGGAATAACCCTCGCAAGGGAGAGGATACGTGATGTACTACTGAATATAGTGAAAGTGTCTGTGGTAACAGAGTTTCGTTCATCGCCCCTGCCTTGTCCGGCAAGTAGAACACCCAGTATCATCAATGGCGGTTGGTTGGGTTTAAGCTAGCTCCTAGGAAAAGCCCGTCTATTCATCACCAGACCTATCGGGCAAGTGAAAAATGACACAAAAAGATGAAAAAATGCCTTGAGTTAGCATCCGCCAACTGCAATAAGATACGTCAAAGTATTGATAGTGGACTGCAGCTGACGTAGCTATAACCGAATGCGAAAGCGCATTGTGTGAATAATGCGTACTTTTATCGGTCATGCGAAGGGGATGAAGGGTTGAGAAGGAATTGAAGTGAATGAAATGGAACATCGATAGGTTGGATGTAGCCGACAGAATTTTTCGATCACGGTAGACATATATTCACTGGGTTTGAACAAGTAGTTCTCACATTCGAAACCCGCCAACGGGTTATATATTCCCGAAGATATTACTACCAATATCAACCCAGTTGATCCAATAGTTGGAAATAAGATAAAGTAGGAAGAGTAGTAACGGAGAACTAAGTTACTTTTGGCCCAAAATAGCCTTTCGGAAACATTTTTAACCATCGATGGAGAATTTAGCAACAACTGCAACAATCCAGACCATTTCGATTTTCCCACATGGTTCGGCTCTTCCCAAAAAAAGAACTAGTTTGTCCATAAGCTCAGGTCGATACAATCAAAACAAGAGAATGCTTTACCAGCCGAATAGATAACCTGTGGACAAAAGGTTGATCTTGGCTAGAAAACAAGCCAGTAGACCTTATTGTTATGTAAGCGTTGGAGACTTCTAACAACTCTGCTCTAGTCCGTTTTATTTAATCTAGTACGCGAATGTTTGTGTCTGAGAATGATTTTAACATGGAGAGATCCTCACATTATGTTCAGCTTCTATCAAATTTCAGATTAGTTTCTTGGTTCTCAGGAAGGATCCTATATTTATCAATTCATGGAGTTTGGCTTCGTGTATAATCTCCTGTTCCTCATTTAACTCTTACACGTGTGCGAACCGCAATCATGTCAGCCGATAGTCTATCTCTCAGAGTTTGCTAAATCGTCAGCAAATGATTAACTCAAAAGGAAGTTTACATTCTTTTTGAAGTGCAGCTAAACACTCAGGGGATGATAAAAAGACAACCCGAGAGATCAGACACAAAACTAAACAGTGTTGGTGGTTACTTGTCCCGAAGTTGTTGTTCGAACAAATGAAGAAGCCATAAAACGGTGGTTCTGAACCCTCGAGGACTGCGCCTACCTGATGAGCCCCAAAAGGGCGAAATCGGTCGTGGTCTGTCGAAGAGTTTTTTAGCAACCTTATTAGTCGTATAATGCATCTAAAGAAGAGCCATATTTCAGGGATAAACGACTTGAAAAATATGGCCTAAGTTTTGGATTTCAAACGAAGACGAAACCATCCCGTCTTGGTGTGAGATTTTTCTTAATACTCATGTCACTAAAGCTTTCTCTATCATTCGATGAGTGTTCTAGTTTGGCTGCGCAACTGAAGTAAATCGGTACTGTCAGAAAGGACGGTCCGCACCAACTCGAATTACACAAAAGCAATAATCGCGTGCATACCGCCTCATTATAATGTGCTAGAATGATAGCTTTAGTAAAAGAACATCAGAAAAACCCGATGAAAAGGGCCTCATCTCAATAGGTAAACATTATTCTTTCCAACATTTGAAAAATCTCTTCTGCTTTCAGCAAAATGCCATAAATTGCGAACTAAATTGTCACCAAGTAAATATACTACCGGGTCTCGAATATCTTAGCAAGTGGAACATGATGTAGCCTTTGTGTAGCACATCCGGTTGAAGATTGCCATAAACAAGAGATTAAGCTGGCATTCAGCTGAGTTTCCCATTGAAATCCAATAAGCCTAAAAGTATGTGTCAAGCAAATAGTGATCAAATCAGGTTCAAGTAGGGCATGAAATTTACAGAAACTCCAGGACTGTCTTTACTTCAGGAGCCCTACGAAGGTCGAAACCAATTGTAGTTTGTTAAAGAATTCTCAGCAACATTAGGTGTAAGTGTTCTTTCCACCTAGATAATGGTGAGTTTCCAGGAACTTTGGGACTTTTGATTTTCTGATCACCTGCTCCGTTTCTCTATAACAGCAACAGCTATCTGGATGGAAATTCAGCGTGCTTGTTGAGTTTTCATTTGACCAGGGCACTAGAAGAACCATCAACCCTTCCACGGTATTTAACGGCAAATGTTGGACACCAGCAAAGACAAGTTTTGGGATTTGGTACCGTTGGGACGGTTGAAACACCCTTCACTAAACCAGAAAGTGTACTCACACAAAGTTTTCAAATATTGCACTCAGCGAGCCGCGGTATGTTGTCTGCTCACCTATTCATATCAGAAAGCAAGTCGGGACCAACTATGTGTCATGTTTACCTGCTAAATCCCACGCTGGATACAACTGGTAATAAACTAAACTGTGTCTGAGAAAATATTGCACATTCGGGCGTTAGGATCTTTGGGAAATCATAAATCAGCAGAACGGAAATGTCCTCGGTGAAAACGAAAAGGAACAGAGTGTATAACAGTGGCATATTCCACCGAGCGGTTAAATTGCTGGTGGCGAGTAAGCTGGATGCACTCTATTTTCTCCATGCAGTTAATCATTACAAAAAAGTGATCACGACATGAAATTCTCTTAACAGCGATTGGTCATCGCGCGGACATGACTAATTTATTCAGTTTCACAGTATCGTGGGTCACCATGACGGTGGACGAATTAGCATATCGATTCGTTTACTACTCTTTGACACATGTGGTTTCCACAAACAAAACTTGTTTGATATCACTTCTTCAGTGAGACTGTGTAATGTTATACCAGGAGACGCAGTCAAACAGTGCGCTACGTAAGTTTGCACTGATATTCAACCGATTCGTTTTTTGTGCATGTTGCTTTTCTTGGGTAAGCCATTTGGAACGGATCAGAACAACGTTTAACAGCTATCTGGATGCTTGAGTGTTGCCTTTGGCATCTATGAACTTTTTTACGCCAAGCACAGGATTATTCGCCTTGTTGATCTTCCAGGGCTATTCACCGGTTTGTTATACAAATTATTTTGTAATGAGCTTCTCTTAGGTGCTATGATTCTCACTAATTGTGGATTCGTTTTGATAATTATAAACAGTATTGGCTGCGTTGGAACGGTAAAGAGGTCAAAGACCCTTGTTTCCTTGGTAAGTACGTAGAAAGTGAGTTCACTAGGTGCTGTTTGGAATTCACGAATGCTCAGTACTACTAATCAATCCGCTGATTGATTTCATGAGCACCAGCCAAGTTAAGCATAATGAGCCATCTGAATAACACTTACAAGCAGCTTAGGATAAACAAAAATGCAATATATACAATACATAGAGTATATCCTTTTCCTCAGAGCCTGACAGCACTTGCTTAACTCCCTTTAGCGCTACGATTTCTAGATTATTAAGAAACCCAGATGCTTTTGGCAACAGTGTACAGGAAGGGCATCTAGTCATTAGTGAATAGGATAGTTGAAAATAATGGTAAGTGCATCAATGTGCAAGGTTTCACTCATAACAGGCCCGGAAATCCTCCTTAAGTTATCTTGGGTTCAGTGTGTTGATAATAACTCAGACTTATCTGTCGCTCTAGCTGGAGGTCGAGAGGCGCTGAACGTCATTTGTGCGCAAAGTATGGTTTCGGTTTTAAGCGTTGATTGAAGGAAGGATCTGATGAAGGATCTTTCAGATACGTGCTCGGGAAAAAGCGATATGTCTAAACGGAGAGTAACGCAAGCCTATTCGGCGGTAACATTAGGTGAACATTCATGTGTTCGATCGGATTGTTTCATACAACAAAAACTTGAACCTTAGCCACGGGATCATGGCTTTAGAAGAACGACCATGCAAATCAGGAAGCAAATTGTGCTCGAAAAGCAAACAGAGTTTGAGGTGAAGACGCAAAATACCAGAAAAAGGTCAAAGCATCCGTATCTCTTTGAAAAAAACGGAAAATGGAGCTGCACCACGACTGGTTACAACAGAGTCTTCCCGCAATCCGTGAATGAGAACCATCTATCGAAGACAGAAAATTATATTCCCATTCTCCACCGAACGCATCGGTTAATCAAGGGGATGTGCTCACCGAATGAGCCACGATAGATTGCAATACGGCCCCGAATCCATATGATATACAAAGGGTTTCGTGTAACAGTTAGAATGTGTGAACCACTTACTTAATTCGTCTTTATAGGCTGATCACATACCTTTGAACACAACTGTTGGCACTTCGGAGAAATAATTCACCTCAAGGCTTTAGTGAGACTGTCTCTTAGGCGAACTTGTGCTTCATGTAATGTTGTATCCAGATATGTTGCTATATCCCATGCGCGTTAACTACTCCCACTGCGACTGTCCCTCTGGTTTCAAAACCGAGACCAAGTTAGGACTCAAATGCACCTAGGTTCAAAGTACAGCTATTTAGGTGCTTACCAAGGTTAACTGCTAACGCCACCTTCATTTACCATTCGCCTATTAGTAGTCCCTTTCAGCTGTCTACCAGGGTTGTGACAGTTGACGGTTCAGTTTAGAGCATTGTTTGTTAATCCTAAAAATTATATTTTTAGGTATCGCGGAGGCTAAAAAAAGTTCGGGTTTCGTCCAGTTTCCGGTCACAAGTGGATGCATCCTAATGATGAAATGCCCGGTTCTCTGGTTTCTGATCACTTTGGCCTTATGATAGTATATAGCTGGCACTTCTTCAAACTACATTAGTATATTTAAGTAATAGGTACAAATATTGCTAAATATGTGAGTTATTCGCTTGAACACGCACAAATGCTTTTTAAGCAACCGGATATTTCAGAGTTCTCACTAACTTACCTTAGAAAGCATATGATGTGGTTGACGTTAGTCACTTTGTTCAGAAGAGGACCTGACCATGCCTTTTATCACTTTCCAGTTCGCTGTGCTCACATCATTTTTGTGTATAGTTTATCTTGGATGCGGATTATGGGCGTCTTCCTATTACGGACAAGTAAATTGAACACGTTCCATGCAACTGTCTGTCGTGCCTGCTTCCCCAGGTTTCAGTGGATTTGGAAAAGTTGTTTTCGAAACTTGTTGAGGAGTATGACGAAAGACGGCTGTTGGTGGAAGAGAATACGAAATATCTGAACTATGTTCAGTATAAGGTGAGTCTTTTACATGTCCCACTCATTCTGAGATATGGAAGTGCATCTCATGTGTGAGTTCTGCCAAAAAACCCCTCTACCGTTCAAGTGCAGAGTGCTAAAGGATTCGCTGGTGCTGCAAACAAGAGATTTATCCAATACTGCCTTAGACCGTCTGCCGTCATCTAACCCGCCCACGTTCTGGTTTTGTTGCCGCGCAACAACACATTTTTGTCTAAGGCTTTAGATCGGATAGACAGCACAGTTAGGGTGGTCCCTTTCGAAGCCACTCATACAAACAACCAGAAGAGTTTTCGAAGAGTTTTCAGCAACCTTGTGAGTAGTTTCCTTCATGAAAACCAGAATCCTAGTGTACCGCCTTCCTTCCACTGCAGGATTCCTGGCTTGTTATCTGGGCCGCAGCCTTGTTGATTAGTCCCTAAACGGTTCTTAGGGTTGTTCATGATTAAAGGAACTCCCCTCAACAATGTATGGGAATCATGTCCGCTGCCGAACATCTTTTGAGTTGCTTAATTTCCAAGGATACCAAGTTGTGAGATTTGCGGGATGTGCATTGTTCATATTTTACATCACTCCCGTTTGAACAATCGTCCTCCTGTTCTGGCGCAATTATTCTGGTGAATCTAAACCAAAGGGGGGACTGGACTCGAGTTTCGCTTTTATTAGAGTTCATCAGCAGTGGGTATCCAATGGCCGAGTCCGGGGTTTGAACTCCGGACACCCGACATGCTAAGAGAACATGTTACCACTATTGCATCAGCGCACGTTGGACACATCTGAATTCTCACATCCGAACAGGTGAACATGTACACTTTTGAGCGATGTGATTGGCGTGCCCGACACATCATCGATACGACGACCCAGTAACTGTCCTGGTTGTGGCGATCGAGTGGCCCGTTCGGAATTCAAACTCCGGACACTGCCATTGGAAATACACGGCTGATGAGCTCTAATAAGAGCGAAACTCGAGTCCAGTGCTTCCCCTCTTTTGGTATGGATTCACCAGAATAATTGCGCCAGGACAGGAGGACGACTGTTCAAACGAGAGTGATGTGAATGTGAAGAAAGTACCAGTTTTTGCTAGGTGTACTCTGACAAACGTGCACAGAAATACACTCTACGAGCATTTATGAACCACATCAGATCCATGAACTTAAACGTCCTATAAGTAGAGGATTGGTAGACAGTGCTGCGTTGGGTTCCCCAAGGAATGAATACCTACCAACCCAGGTCTTTTTGTCAATCCTTGCTAAACAACCTAATTGGTTGCTAAAATGTTGTTTGGCTTATTTATGGTGTTAATTTTAATCCATCGTGCAAGTTTCAAACCAGACCTTTACGTTGTGGACCCTAACACCTGGATAAATAAATAAGAATTCAGAGAGCTGCAATCAAGGTTATTGATTGTATGGTTGAGTTTACTTTTCCTACACTTTCGGTATCTTAGATATAGGTCTGGGAGGCATCCTAATGGTAGCGCATTTGTTTGTAAAATATCAGTACCAATTTGGTGTCACGTTTCTGTGTGAATCAGCGCAATATAACAACAAAAGTATATTCTAGGGCTGAGCGTTTTGTTCGCAAAGCATGTTACAATGTTTGTCGATAGCTATCAGTAGCATATGCAATATTTTCGCAATAAGAAGACTGTCCGATGCCGAATGGTGAGGTAGAGATGTAAGATCAACGTGGTCAAAGGGGGGATGAGTGAACGAAGAAGATACAGTAGTCAATAAATGCCGTTCAGAACTATCGGAAGGACATTAAGTTCTTGCATTAACTTGAGTTGGATCTTCTTTCAGATATGGTTTGGTCCTAGAAAGACATAACAGAATATCGTCATCATGTTGTGTTAGGACTTAAATTTCCAAGCTTGTGCGATAAAATTCAGCTGGTAGACGTACTTCTTTTAAAAAACGCTCTAACCGGCTTCGGATGTCTTAAACGCAAAATGACTGCTCAGTGCATAACCGAAGGGCTTAACGCTTCAGTGAGCTAAGCATTTGACCAATTCGCAAACCCGGTTAGACATTTGGTAAAGGCAGATTATGTTCTAATAATTTATGATCACGCTCTTAGAAATTTCACACGAGAATCGTAATGTGCACTTTCCAGCCTAGTTGGGTTCAATATTGGGGGAAAATCACAGCGTCGAGAAGGGAATTTTACAACCCAAGGTTCTGGCAACCGTGAGCAAACATCGTCAGGAGCTAAATAGAAAACTAGTACTAATTATCCCGTTTCCGACAATCACCTCGGGTGAACAGCGCTGTAAGCTACTAAGCTATGCTCCTAAAATTTATTTGACTACTTATCAGCCCAACCATTACATACGATGCACCATCTATTCGGGCTCATTGGTAGTAAATGCGGTGCAGATTTCCCCAGATAGCAATTTCATTGGCACTTAACTTGAGGGTCATTTTGTTAAACCATAGTAGACGAAAAGGAACTGAACAGGTTGATTGGTCTGAATCAGGCTGGAGTTAAATCACTCTGCGGAAGGTTCGGTAGTATTGTAAGCAAGGTTCGCTTTACGAATGCAGCGGCATTCTAAAACATCTTTTCTAGGTGAGCTATCCCGTGGGCAAACTGCATTCTATGCCCCTGAGTTCATGGATTTAGTTTATTTTTGTGTTGCTTGGCTTTCATTGAGAGTAATAACTACTGTAACTATCACCCTTAAATGACCTCAAGGAGGTAAACTGCGTGGTTCACATCCCGTTCGGAATACCTCGGAATTGGTAAAGTGCGAGCCTCATGTCTCCAAAAAACAGAAACATCCCTCGTATCTTCTAGGTCCCAAGGTACGAATAAAATTTGCTTGAAGGACAAAAATTCACGGCTGAAGTTTTAAACCTTTCTACTTCTACAAGCAGAAGTAGCTTGCTTAGAAAGAACTTCCCAAATATCCATGGACCTGTGGAGAGGACTAATAGGAAGCCAGTAAATACAAGACCGTTTAATATGAACTGTGTGGCTAACAGGCTAGTGGCTTTAGGGTAACTACACCGATGATTACACAGCAGGGCAATCGAACTCTTGCATCAAAGTAGTGAATTTTATCCAAAAAATTCCGGAGTTGGATTATACTACTAGAGGCAGTGGACGAACAGCAGCTGCGCAGTGTGTCCTGGTCATTCGGCATGAAATGACTGAGTTGCAGACCAAAACTCCACCTTCATATACCCCAGATCTTCGTAGAGCTTCTAAATATGATAGTGGCCAAAAGCGTGGTTCTTTGTAACAGCAGACTTGAAGTACAGTTCAAATTAATGCAGCCTCTATACCCCAGGACTCAGTGTAGACCACATACATGTACTCTCGTATATACTAAAATCTTACTGGAAGCACTCTGTCACTTTTCAGACACGAACGAATATCACTTGGTATCCTTAAGTACTGTCATGATTTTCAACCAATCGTTGAGACATCTCTCTATAAATCAGCATTCGCCAAGAGACCTACCGAATAGCCCACACAATGTCTTTTTTATTATTATGCTGTTTTAATTTTTGGGCGAAACTGCGGGAGAAATCTAAGTACTTTGTACAAAAACCCATAAGAATGAGCACAGAAATAGGAAAAGTGGTCTAGAATTTACATTAGGTCGTCCTGTATCAAGGTGCTGACCCATCTACCAGAAACCAACAGACACAGGAACCGTCTTAAGCTACACATCAGCACACCCAAACTTCGTGTGCGCCAGCATTGTCTCATCGTCGAGTCAGAGCGCTGTACACAGAAGGGATCGACCGAACGGCAGCTCAAATCGAGATTGCCAACAAACTTCAAGAAATAGGATACCCATGAGTTTGATTGGGCGTCAACTAAGGAAGATATTGGCTCCAGTATCTAGACCCAATAAGGAGTGGATTGGCACAGCAGTCATTCGATATAAAGCAGGAACATCGGAGGTAATTCGAAGAAGGGAAAAACGCTACGCTCAGTCTTGGTGCAATTGAAAGATCCCCTGCCGGCTGAAAGGACTAGGGACTGTGTGTAAAAAATTAACTGCAACGATTGTGCTAAGGTTTATATAGGACAAACTGCCAGGGAATTGCACACCAGAATTGGTGAGCATAAAAGAAGGATTAGCAAACCACCAAGGAATGCAGAAGAATACCAAATGCTGTTCAAAGACTCAGCGATGGCGGTACATGCCTTAGACACGGGAAGTTTTGAGACGGGGACTGCGATTTACACCACAGCGGCTGATAGCCGAGGCGGTAGAAATTACTAAGCATCACAGCGTGACTAGAATCGAGGGTGTGGAGCTAGCGAGCGTATGGAAAGCGGTCTTAGATAAGCAGAGTTCACGCGTGACGGTGTAGTTGTCAATTCACTTGGGATCATTAGAAAAAAAGGGGGGTGGGGTGGAAAACCCCAACCGACCAAAGGTCACAACATCCCTCTTAAACAACTTTCTTAGCACTAGCTCACCCACACAGACTGACAAATGGTTCAAACGAAGTTCAAAAGGAACCATCAAATGAACCGAACCAGAAGAACTGGACCCTAGGCTGCGCTCAAACACATGTAGGTTTCCCCACCGACCCAACACTTGTTCAACCACTCTAACACACTAAAATCCCTCGGCCGACACCCAACAGAGATTTAGCTTGACTTAGCTGATTGGTTCTTCTTCCGCCTTAAATCTTGACCAACCTCGGGACCTAGTCACTTGAACTGACGAAGCTTTTGTGTCAAAAGCGAAACGTTGCCCAGCAATAAATCTACCGATTGCCACCAAACTTTTTCGAAAAGGTACTGACCCGTTTTCATGAACCCAGGTGTCAATAAGCCTCACACAAGTTGGGACAGTATGATACGGGCGAACAGAATAACGGTGTCAACAATTAACATAACCGGAACGCACAGCACATATATGTATAAACAGGCCCCAGGTAGAAATGTCCTGCAATAACTCGATGATCGCATTTTGTCACACAGTCAAGGCGAAAATAAAGGCGGTTATTTAATCTCACCAGTAAGGTGGA